GGTGGTGTATGCCTCCAGCTACTTGGAATGCTGTTACAGGAGTATCCAAGTTGAGGACAGCCTGGGGAACTTAGCCTCTGTCTCAAAGTAAAAAGGGCTTGGGATGTGGCTCAGTGGTAGAGCATTGTCTATCATGGGTAAACCTCTGAATTCAGTCCAGGAGAGAGGGGGAAGAGGCAGTGTGAAAATAGTTAACACTATATATTCAATGCAGTCATTTTCTATAGGGCAGTAGTTTGAGCTGTTAGCTAGTATGTTTTCTTTTGGGATGTAATACACGTTCAAATTCTTCCATTTCTTTTTCTGTTAAATTTAGGTTAGATGTCAAGAGCAACAACATAACAGCCAAATGGCTATATTATGATTTACTTACAGTTATGGCTTATGTGGTTTCTGTGTTGTGGATTAGGAGCCTTTAGACAAATTCTATAGAATATCTGATTAAAGGAGTTGTGCAAATTAGAATTTTTGAAATCCTTGATGCAAATCAGATTATAGTATTGGAGAAATTCACTAATTTTGATTTTTTTGCCAGATTTTTTCTTTTATGATTTTTTCCCGAATATTAATAGATCCATCAGAAACAAAGAATCTGGAAATCAGTTAATTCAGATAGTATTTTTAGAGATAATGTCCTTCCATCAAAACCATTCTTACATAAATTTCGCATTGAACCACATGTGAATAATAATTTGATGATACATAAGTAGATGGTTCTTTTATTCTTAAGTTTTTCTGGTTCAATTTTATTTTAAGAATTACTACAGGATAACTTACTTATTATTTAGAATGTTTTTAAGTTAATTTATATGTATTTCACCATAATACTTAACATTTCTATCATAATCCTAAGCGTAATAGGAAAATCATCATTACCTCCTGGGACCAGTGATCGTTTAAAGAAACATTTACCTAAGTAATTTTAAAATATAATTTAGAGGAACTGGGATTATGGCTCAGTGGTAGAGTACTTACTAGCGTACGTGAGGCACTGGGTTCAATCCTTAGTACCACATAAAAATAAATAATTAAAATAAAGGTATTGTGTCCATCTATAACTAAAAATATTAAAAAATAATTTAGAGGAGTTAGAATAAAAGAATAGTATATAACAAGTGTTAGCAATTTTGCCATGCATTTATATTCAGCAACTTTGGATTTTTTAATATTTTTCCTGGTTTTGAAAGTAACTGAAATGGCAGTGTCTTCTGAATGGAACTCAGTGCAACAAGTTTGCTCATTAGTTGTCAGACATTCAAATAAGATCCTAAAAAGTTCTAGCTTATCATTATTTCCTATTCTTATACTTAACAGCAATACTTGAAGACATTTGTTTTGTTGCTGTGCTGGGGGTGGAACTAAGGACTTTGTGCATGTTAGGCAAACGTTCTGTACATCCTCAGCCCTAGACATTTTAAAAATCTTTGGCAGCTCATAATTTTGTTTTAGGATATTTTCTTTTTCTTATTGTTAATGCCAGTTAGGATAATCAGTCCTTTATTTTTTTCGTATCTACATCAGCATATTCCATCAGTTATCTTTGAATACAAATCTACTGTTAGCACTTACCCCTATCAAGTCAAACAGATTGTGCAAATGGCATAAAAGATGAAAGAATTTATTATTACACATCCTTTTAGTTAAATGGAGTTGTTAGGTTCTTGTCTAAAATATTTTTGTGATGAATTACTAAGTTGATAAGAATACCATATGTTCCTTCTGATTTAGAAATGTGTTATTCATCTAGTAGTTCTTGAGTTCTGCAGAATTTATCCTAGGATATCATCATCTAACAATTCATATGAAATGTCTTTTAGATGACCTATTTTCCTATATCATTAAAGTCCAGAGTACTGCTATTTCTTCGCTTTCATCTTCTGATTTGTGCATTAATTGTGAAATATCTTTCCTTGACAAGTTTCTTTGCTTTACTATTGTAAGTGGAAAACGAGAAAGCTTAAATATTCATTTTTTTTTTTTTTTTTTGTCAATGATAGCTAAAAGCAGACTCCAAAGATGGGGTCTGCATTCTTATTTTATGCTTTCTTGAAAGATGATGCAATATTTTAGGCAATAGAGTTAGAAAATGGAGGAAGGGTTCATTATTATATTTTTCTCCCAAGCATCCCATTCTTTCAAATTCTTATTATTTTAGTCTTTTTAAATATAGTTGGATATAATTGTTGAATGATAATAAAATAATTTCTAGGATGTGAAATAGCAAAATGTTACAAGAGATCACTAAATTCTATAATATATCTTGGATTTATAAAAGCACCCAGTGAATAGATATAGTGTTTACTAGATGGAATGAGTTGTTATTTTTTTTAAACAAGGTGTTTTTGCGGTACTGGGGATTGAAGTCAGTGCTTCAGCACATGTTAGACAAGCTCTTGCTACATCCCTATCTTTTTTTTGGTGGGGGGGGGGTTACTGAGGAATGAATTTAGGGGCATTTGACCACTGAGTCACATCCCCAATCCTATTTTGTATTTTATTTAGAGACAGGGTCTCACTGAGTTGCGTTGTGCCTTGCTTTTTGCTGAGGCTGGCTTTGAACTCATGATCCTCCTGTCTAGGCCTCCCTAGCCACTGGGATTACAGGTGTGTGCCACTACGCCTGGCAGCTACATCTCCATCTTTAAGTGAGTTTTTCCTCGTCTTTTGAAGTCCATTAAGAGGAATAGAATAGCAGTAAGAAGGGATAAAATATCAATCATTAAAATTTTTAGAACTACATGAAAAGGAAACTCATAACTTAAAACTGGGTCCATTGGATCTTAACTGAGTTAAGGATTCTGTGGATCTTTATTGATTTATATATTTATCAGCCTCATATTGTCCACTGTTTGATATTCTATGAACTTACAGTGTTCTTTTAAAATATCAAGAATAAAAAATATAATTACAAATCATAAGTTTAACTTATATTTTCTCCCAAATATTTATTTTAAAAAGATTTGATTTTTATGACGTAGCTTGCTTTTAAGTCATGTTTAATTTTAGAATTTGCTTACAATTACTTTTGGAAATGGCAGGGAACAGGTGAAACAACATTGGATTTCTACTCAGTTTATGACATCTCAGGTGTACTTTATCTTATAGACCACCTATGTAATTTACTTACAGGTATTTCTGTATTAATTCTATTTGTAGCGCTATTGAAAATTGGGTAAGAAGAATACGTCACTTTTGAAATTTTAAGTCTTTATTATGAATGTCAAATAAATTTTATTAAGTGCCCATATTCATATTTTTTTCTTTTTTAAACAGATTTTTTCCATCCATCTATCTACTTATTTATTTATTTGTTGTTGATGGACATTTATCTATCTATTTATTTATTTATTTATGGTGCTGAGTACTGAGAATAGAACCCAGTGCCTCACATATGCTAGGCAAGCGCTCTACCACTGAGCTACAACTCCAGCCCCACATTCATTCTTAACTCTTTGCAGCCACCTGAGACATGCTTAAAAAAAAAAAAAAAAAAAATAGATTGAATAGTTACTTACAAAGGGTCTATTTTGTAAACATGCAGTCCATTATTTAAAGCTTGTTTTTTTTTTCTTCCAATTTTTAAGTTTTTGGTACTATTAGGGATGAAACCCAGGGCTTGATGTATGCTGGCTAGTTGCTTTACCACTGAGCTACTTCCCCAACCTTTGTACAATTTTAATAGTTCAAAGGGAATAATCAGAATTTGATAGACTCTATAACTTGTCTGTTGTGCAGTATTTTGGGTGTTTTGATTTTATTTTTTGGCAGATACAACATTTTTGCTGGTTTCAGTTTTCTTTAGTATTTTCTGATTGTCAAGGATTAGTGTTAGATGCTAACTTTTGGATAAAGAGCGGTTGTAAGGTTTAAAGGAATAACAGAAGTCTAAAACTACCACATTTTTTCCTAATAAATAATTCATTCTAAATTTATTCTATGTAAATATATGATCTCTAGTAACTGATGATTGTTTCATAATTATATAGAAGTAAGCAAACATAAATGACTCTAGCTTTTTTGGGAGAGTTGTGGGGCAGTGCTGGGGATAGATCCTAGGTCCTTAGCACTATACCACTGAGATGCCCATAATATTTGAATGTTGATCATTTACTCATTTAGGGGGAGATTACATATATTTTCAGATTCTTAGCTCATAAATCTAGAAGTAACATATCAGTACTTTATAGAAATAAAACCAGGAAGGTATATAGTTATCTTTTTGCCTTTGTTGGAGTATAATTTAATTCTGATTTACTAATTAAGTTACCTCAGTTTATGCTGATGACTTAAAAAATTTTTGTCCTCTGAAATCTGCCAGGTTTGTAGTATTCACATTTGTCTATTGCAAAGTAATTTGTTTCACTGAATGAGGTTTATATGTTAGGAAACATTCTCTTATTTAGGAAGTCAAAACTTTAGTTTTAAGAAAATGTTAAAATTAAGCTTAAGAAGAATATTCCATGCTTTGGGAAAATGTTGACATTATCATGTGAGAAAAACAGGGTATAGTGTATTTTGTAAAAAATTCTGAATCTATATTTAGATACAAATGCTTAGGTAAAAGACTGGAAATTTTGTGTGCTATACTGTTAATTGGGATAACCATTGAATAGGTGGTTTGCATGCTTCTTGGGTACTTGTATGGGTTCTTAGAGTTTTCTAAAATTTTAATTTGTAAAACTTTAAAAAATAATTCAACTTGCCCATTATGTACACTGGAATAACAATTTGTTATTACTCTACAGTAACACACAGTGCACACAGTTGGTAAAGAATACCTTCCTGTAATCCTATATGAATATTGAGTTTTATGGGGAAAATTACTTGATGCCTGGAAAGTGTATTGGCCTGTGGCTGTAACTATAAATGTTACCTTCTTGTGGTTGGTCAAAAGCCCATGATATTTGGTGGTAAAAACAAGTTCTGTAAATTTATTTTGGAGTTGTAGTTAACCACTTTACATATTTATTCTCTCTTAAAATATACTCTTTCATTTTTAGGCATTATCCAATTGGTTTGCTATTTGATCTTCTTGCATCAAGTTCAGCTCTTCCTTGGAACATCACAGTACATTTTAAGGTATAGTTTAAATAGCATTTCCCATTTGTCCCACTTGCAATACTTAATAAATAGAGTAGTTTTTTTTAAGTGAAGTTATTTATTGTTTTCCTTATGACACCCTTAGTTGCTAAGCTTCCATTAGTGTTTGCTGTAAAATATTTTTCAATTTCTTCCTAACTTTTGGCTGATCCACTTAAAGTTTTAATGATAAGTAGCCCCCCCTTTTTAAATTAGAGCTAAATCTGCTATTTTGAGAATTTATAATAGTTTTTGAAAATTTATGTTTTATTTTAAAAATCAAATAGAATAAAATTCCTGAGCATAGATGTGCACAAGGCTAGGAAGGAGGACAGCCTAATGCTTTTTAGTAGTTCTAAGACTAATGTGATTGAATGAGGAGAAGAGTTAGATGAAAGTCCAAAGATTTGATGTATCTCTCTTTTGAGAAATGTTCATTCCTGTAGTGTTTAAGACCAGGATAAATTTAGTATGATATGCTTTAGTGTCACTGTATTACAGACATATTCCACCATTCTTCTGCTCTACCCTCCAGTTCATTTGCAAACACTGTTGAAGAATTGAAAATACTTTTAATTGCTCATGGACAGTAATTCTCAAATGCAGTGGGTAACAGAGGGGAGGCATAGAGTTTGAGAAAGTCACTTAGGTGTCTGATTTGCTTTCTTGAAGGGGTACCAATTCAAAGTCAATGCCCATCCATTCTTCCTATGATGCTTTTCCTTCCCGTTTTATTGTAATGAGTGTGGGTCACTAGAGCTTCTTATTTCTCTGTGTATGTACACTAATATGCATTGCACAGTACTATGTTATTATAGCTCACGGTTGCCATAAAACCTTACAGTTGGAGCATGTGATTCTAATATGTGTGAATTTTAGTTCCCATGATATATTGAGAGCAAGAACTGCATGTACATACAGCAATTTACATTTAGAGTAGTGTGAAAATAAAACTTCTTCAAATATATTAAGGCTAGAGGTTATGTATTAACAAGTCTTTCCTGTTAATGTTGGAAAATAAGAGTACAGTATTTATATTGTTTACTTTTGTGTGAGTATATGTTTGGGTATGAGAGAGAGAGAGGTGTACCCTAAAAGACTTTGAAATGTAAGTTAAAATGTGTTGTAGCTATCTGTTAATTAATTCTTTTGGTAAATATTGAGATTCTTCTCTGAGCCAGCCAGTCTCGGTTCTAGGAGCTTGGGATACATAGAATGATGGACTGACATTCAAAAACTCAAGCATTTTAGGGTACTTAGTGGTACTACATAAGTTATTGGTTGAAGGAGTCAGTGGATTATAATGATAGGAAAAGAAAGATTAAGGCGTGTTTGCATTGGTATAGTGCAGTGAGTCTAGAAGCAATGTGAGAACCCCTGGGGTTGGGGGCATGTTCCCTGAAATCCTTTCAGGAGATCTATTAGGTAAAATCTATTCCCATGATAATATTGAATATTATTTGCCCTTTCTACCGTGTTAACATTTGCACTGATCTGCAAAAACAGTGGTGGTTAAAACTGCTGGGGACCTAAGCATAAAGCAAAGCAGTGTACCAAGTTACTAGTGGTCATTCTGTTCTTCAGGACTATCCACTTACAGTAAAAAGAATACTTGTTCACCTAACACTATTCTGGATAAAGTGTTTTTTGTTTTTGTTTTTTCCGGGGGGAGGGGGAGTGGTCCTGGGAATTGAATTCAGGGTGTTGCACATCCTAGACAGATATTCTACCATTGAGCTATTAGGTGCAATTCAAAATTATTACTTATTATTAATCTTAATTCTTAAGTACATGTGTTTTTAATACCTTGTGTGATGAAATGGGTAGTACACATAAAGCACTTTTCTGGGAAGACAAATATGGTTGTCTTAGAGAAAAGCATGTGTCCCCTACATGATTTGGTTTCCAGCTGAACTAGCCATATTTTTCTTAGGATATCTGACACACTTTGGGTGCCAGTGATTAAAAAAACTTCAAAGTGAAAACTACAATTTTAGAAAACACGAATCTGCCACTATGAGTGTGACAGCCCCTTTCTGTTAGAATTTTCTAATGAGACTGATGGTAGTTTTAACATACAGTTTGTAAAAAAAAAAAAAAAAGAAAAAGAAAAAAAATTCATGGAGTGAAATGTGTCAACATTTGGAGATCTACATAACTCAGTGAATAAACATTTTCTAGATGAGCAATTTATAATGTTACAAAATTATGCCTTGTGTAAAATGACCCATTCAAACTGCAAGGTTAGAATAAAGAATTTTAATGTATAAATGGTCACTGGTATGGTTTTAGATTACACATCAGTATTATAATCAACTGCACTTTTGGAATTAGGTATAGTATTGAAGAATACTCACAGATTTGAAAAGGATACCAAAATATAATTTTTACCAATTATATGTCTTTATGAGCCTGGATTTTCTTTATAAATTTCAACAAAGTGACATATTGCAAAATATTGAATATAGAAGCCAATGAGATAGTTCATCTGTCTTCTATTAAGAAATTAAAGATATTTGTAAAAAATGCACAATAATACCACTCATCTCCCCAGTTTTTTGTTTGTTTTGTTTTTTCATTCTGGAAAACAGTTATTTTTAATGAAGATAATATTTTTTTCACTAACATGATGGATTAATTTTGGTTATTTTAAATGAGTTAATATTTTTAAATATCTCTAGAATCATGTAAATATGATAATAATGTAATCTTCATTAAAAACAAGCTCTCTTTTGCCAGTTTTCTTCCAAATAGGAAGATTTATTAGAGAAATCAAATTGGAGACTCTTTAAACTACTAAGAAAATTACATAGGATGGTTTAAGTTTGCTGACACCACAGCTTTCAGCTACTTGAGCCTTTCTTTCAGCTACTTAAGTCTTTCTGATCCTAGTCAGTGTTGGAGGAAAATTATTGCCCCAATTCCCACCCCACTTAAATACTGTGTACTGAGTTCCTTTATGCATTATATTATGATCTAGCTTACCCCAAAGATTGTCTACAGGTATTTAATCAATGTCTTGTACTAATTTTATAGGCCTCCTACTTTGTACTATCCTGGCACTTTTAGCTGATTATAATGAAATTTAAAGGATTAATTTGGAGGTAGGAAATCAATGCTTTTTCCCCCCCTTTTTTAAGTTTCTAGAAGATAGTTTACTTTCTTTCAACATATTGTGTTTATTAACAATTTATATTAGTTAGTGGTTAGTGTTCCAGCATTTATTTCATCTTTTATGATGTGGTCTTGCATGTGCTAAGTGATATTTGTATTTAAATCAGACTTGTTAGAGTTTTATTTAACAGCTGATTTCAAATTTCAAAAATCTTGATTAGATTTTATGTAGTACTAAATCCTACAAGAGACCCCAGTGCCTCTGATATGATCAATCAGATAGACTGATACTTGAAAAACAAACAAAAACCTGCCGAAAACTTTGCAACCGTGTGTTTTCTATTTTTTAAGCCAACTTTGATGCTTGCGATTTGAATAGATTTATAATATTTATCATGAATATGTTTTATTGTCTATAGTAATGTTTTGGGAACTTTAACAAGCTTTCAAATTACCTCTGTATCAAAGTGCAGATTGTGATTCTGTAGGTTTAGGGTGGATGCAGAGATGCTGTATTTCTAACAAGCTTACAGGTAATGTGATCTATTGGTCTACCGGACTACATGTTAAGTAACAAGAGTTTAGAGAATACTGTAGATATAAAAGTGAATAATAATTGTCTACAGAACCAAAGGGTTTTACAGATGAGTCAGAATGTGTTTTTATAAGAATTTATGAATTCTGAGAAAAATACTATATGATTATAACATGTTAACTGCTTTAAAATGTGCATATTTGGTTATTTACCTTGATTTCTTTCACTGTTTGCCAAAATAGGAGTGAAAATTATACTTCTTCACTCTTTTCTAATTTTAATGATTTTTTTTTTTTTTTTTAAATTTCTGAACTCAATTTAGCCTAGTAAGAAAATTTTCTCATTTCTGTCTTCTCGGTTTTTTATAGAAACATTCAGACCTGTATTAGAAAAGTTGAGAGTAGTTCAGTTAACAACCATACACTTGTTAACATTTTGCCATTTTTGCTTTGCTGTACTTCTCTGTCTCCACCCTCTCCCCTCCTTTGATTTTTCCTTCCTTAGTCCTATAGGCATGCTGCTTGTAAATCTGCATTAATGCAAAAGGATCCTTTCAGTGTGTGGAATTTTTCAAAAGGGTGTTAGTGTGATTTGAAAATTTAGTGATATCAGGTGAGGATATCCAGCTCTTTGAAATGCCTAGTTCTATCTATAATGTAAATGTAGTTTGTTACTCTATTGGGGTGGGGGGATTAAAAAAAAAAAACCCTTGGTTTTTTTCTTTCTTTCCTGGTAAAATGGTGCTGATTTGTTTTTAAAAAGAGCAGATATCATTTTGAATTTATTAAGGTCAAGAGCTCACATTTGCTAAGCAAATGAGGATAGTACTAATATGCTAAACTCCCCTGAATGTTGGGAATACCACAAGTTAGATATGCCAGACCATCCTGTTGTGCTTAAACAGACACTGCTGCTGGTTCTGGCTGTTCTTGAGAGTGCTCATATGACTGACCACACCTGATTTCTGATGGACAGTTTTTTTGCTATGCCAGAACCCACTTGTCTTAGTGAAAAAATGTATCATATCTTTGTTTCTATTCTCTGTTGATGACATAGGTGTGAGGTAGCTTTCCATGTTCTTCAGTGTAGTTTATGGCTTCTCTCTTGCTTCTACACTGCTTGTGCTTTCCAGCAATAAATATTTGTGGTTGTTTTAGAGTATCCCTCAATAGTATGTTGTTTTAGTTATCTATTACTGTTTGACAGACTACAGGTTGAAAATTCCTTGTCCAAAAAGCTTGGAACAAGAATTCTTTCAGATATTGGGTTTTTGTTTTGTTTTTTGGAATATTTGTGTAGACATTACAATTTGAGCATTGCTAATCCAAGAAATCCAAAATATGCCAAAATCTGAACA